AAATGAAAAGCTTGCTAATAGTGCTAAATATGGAATGTTTAGTAATCCATTTTTATTGTTGTTTGTTTAAACTTTGTTTTCATCAAACATTGAAAACACATGCATTTGGGCAAGGGGAACAATTTAAAAACTGACAGACCTACATGTTTGAAACTACTGTACCTATCCATGTTAACCCTTTATTAGTAGAAATTGATTCTGAAAACTGTATGAATAGTCACCATTTAGGTTAGATCAAATAACAGTGAATGATATTGTAACAAATCAGTGTTTTAGTATTGGACGAAGGTTAAGCATTTTCTGTTGTACGAGCATGCGCTATAGCAATATGGTGCATCGTTGATTTAGCAATTACCAAACTGAAGGAAAATGAGCATAAATTACATATTTTGATCATGTTGGTGCAATTATCATGTTTCTTTTGGGGATATTACTTGTATAGTAGTGATCTAATCAGGAATAAGGGGTTATACTGAAGATTATATGTGAAGATTTTATGGGATTAGCAGAAATGTTGTGTTGAAGTGTTGTTTTACTAACGAGGACATAATTGTTCTTTTATACGGTTATGTATAGGGAAATTTTTAAGATGGGCAGGGTTGTGCATCTAGGGCTTTCCACTGCACTGTATCCGATACAGGCCAGCCTCACCGAGGCTGGCCTGATAGTTGGCCTGAAAGTTGGCCTGATAGTTGGCCTGATAGTTGGCCTGATAGTTGGCCTGATAGTTGGCCTGATAGTTGGCCTGATAGTTGGCCTGATAGTTGGCCTGATAGTTGGCCTGATAGTTGGCCTGATAGTTGACCTGATAGTTGGCCTGTGTTGGCCTGAAAGTTGGCCTGACAGTTGGCCTGACAGTTGGCCTGACAGTTGGCCTGACAGTTGGCCTGATAGTTGGCCTGGCCTAAGGCCCTAAGCTAAGTCTCACATAGTTTGCACTGTACTTGTACTGAGTTTACCCGATTGTTGAATGGATCGCAATAAAGACTTTCAACCTACACATCATGATTGGTTTGATTTCTTGTAGCAGTGAAACCAAGGGACGAGAACCTGTGACAAGTGTTGACAAGGGAAATTGATTGTTCGAAGGATGCTCAATTGATTGATGCTGTGAACGAGACGTTTAGGTGACCGATTGCAGTCGAAGGATGCATGATTGTTAATACGCCCTGTGACGTGAGCAGTGAAAGAACTCCAGCCATCAAGCTACGGGCATATACTTTGTCCAAACGGACGGAGAGCGCCTGGCCGACACGGGGCATCCTGACAAATATTCCGTGTCAAGCCAAGGTGGCGAAATCGTGTCCGCTACAATATGCTCAACAGTTTAACAACCACCAACTGTTATTCAAAACTGGCTATAAAAACCATTTCAATTGGTATATAATCACTCTCAAGGGCCCTCAATGTCACACATGGACCACCTTTGTACATGTAGATGTACTTCTGAAAAACATAAATCACTGTTCAGTCTTTAGATTGCATTGTCATTGAAAAAGAGAAAAGAGAAAAGAGTGAAGTTTATACAGATGAAGGAAACCATTATCAATGCTTTGGTCGAGAACCTTGGAGAGAGTGAAAGGGAATTCCAAGGTATTTGGTCTTTCATGCATGTCATGTGTGAATATACCTGCATGTCAAGCTGTTGTAAGAATTCTAATTTTCAAGTTTATTTAGAGAATTGACACTTCAGAAAATATGATTGTTGAAATGTTGGTTAACCCATTGCAAAGCAGTACAAAGTTCACCTCAGACTTGTGGAAGTTCTGGTGCAGTAGCTTGATGTCACAGTCAGCAGAGGTTGATTAGTTTAGTTTTATCTCTCTTAATCTGTATGTTTTCCCCTCTTAGTTTTTGTACTTTTGTTCAAGTTGTTTACATCTACATGTAAATATGTACAGTGTGAGTCAAAAAAAAGTTTACACCTAGAAAATTGCTAATTATTTTAAAAATCATTTACATGTATGAACAGTAAATTATTTTATATCTTATGAAAAAGTGTTTTATCCCAAATCATTTAGTATCATTTTTGTGTGGTACATGTATGTGTTAACGCTTGGATGAAAAGGCGGCATTGTTTGCGAGAGTGCAAAAATCGACTCACGCCAAAGTAGCTTATGTGATGTTTAAATACGTATAACAATTGGGATTTGGGTGTTTAATCGGTTTTTGCAGATCCAAATAACATCCCTAACAAAATTAATCATGCCACACATATCAAATATAAAAAATCAATTTGTGCGCATGTGTGTGTGTGCGTGGTGACTTTGCTTGTGGAAAAAGCATATGCAATGCATTTCATTTGATACATTCAATTCATTCTCTCACTCCGCTAATCCGAACATAATAAATGCAGTAGGCATCACTTTGGCGCAAGTCGATTTTTGCACTCTCGCAAACAATGCCTCTTGTTCTTCCAAGCGTTAACACATACCACACAAAAATGATACCAAATGATTTGGGATAAAACACTCTTTCATAAGATGTATAAAAATTTACTGTTCATAGATGATTTTTAAAACAATTGGCAATTTTCTAGGTGTAAACTTTTTTTTGACTCACACGGTATGTTGGACCACTGCTTTTGCAGCTGAGTCTAGAAAAAAGTCTTGAAAATCGACAAATTGAATTTCATGGTCCATATTCTAGAACCCAAATCTGCCTTTTTTTAATGGTGTATATTATCATAATTTAATCTAACATTGCCTGCAGTTTCAAGTGAACCTTTCTGCACAGAAGTAGATTGCAAATTTGGGGTATATATTCTCGCACTTCACATTCAAGACTGAAGATATGCCATGAATAACACTGACATAAATATGTGAGAATTTGCGGAGCTGCAGTCTAACTGAGTCTGCATAGTGTCCCGTATGCATTACCAAGTATTGTAGAGCTCTGAACATAAATTGATTGACAACATTTCATTTTATATTATGTCTGTTCTGACTCTAGAAGGGCTATTATATTAACACAATGATCAGATATACATGTACTAACAAATCTTTGATGTGGTCAGATACATGTATGTGCAGGGTTGTTCATGCATACTTTATGTACAGTAAGGGACAAAACAACTTGAATTTCCCCCCAAATCTTATAAAACCTACCAGTAGACCAAAATACCAACAAAAAACCACACAAAAAGCAGATTTATGCTATGCTTACACCATTCCTGTACTAACAGGATTAGAGCAGGGCATGTGAGTTTAAAGTCTCACCTCCCTGATTAGAGTATCTCAGCTCAGAGATATGTACCTCAAATAATTAGGCCTAGGTCTACTGCAACACTGGCTAGCCTATAGTGACAAAGATGCAATGTACAGTGTACTTGGAGCAAGAGAAAGAGGATGAGGAGGAGAAAGGGGACAATATACTTACCAACAACATAAGAACAAATTGTGAATTATCCTTAAATTTCCTCAACCTATAATCACAAGACATCAAAGCCACATTGAGAACCATACAGCAATGCAGACGGTTCCTCACTGGTGGTATCTCCCAGTCTATAGCCCCCTTGGTATGGCAGTTACTTGTAAAGTCAAGTCATAAGTGCAGCTCACAGTGAGAAGGAAGGAGAGAGATGATGCTGATGTAGAGTGAGTGTGACTGTGTTTTCAATCTGGTTATCAACTCTGAGCCTGGGATCATCTCTTACAGTCTCGCATTTCAGACCTCTTTAGTCTTTGTGTTACGACAGGAAATGACAAGTTCACCTAAAATGCATTTTTGGCTGTCCAAAGTAAGTTCTGATCACACTAAGTTGCATACATAAAACATAAAACATGGATGCCTGATAGAATTCATGAGAGGGCTTAAAAATCATCATCAATGAGCTACATGTATTTTGTACCCTAGGAAAGCCTGAAATCTGGCAAAGGAACATGACAACTTTTGCCAGTGCTTTAATTTTCCTGATAATTTACATGATCCCTGTATATTTAAGCATGTATTAAAACACTACAGACTTGTTGTAGGAGAGATCTATATAAAATACTTTTATGCAGTGTACAGTGTATCTACAAAATAGTTCTAGTTCCTGAGTAACACTCTTTTGATTCTGGCCACAGGGAGAGAGGGCGTCTTTCATCACGAGAAGGATGCAATTTTACTTTATTTTTCTAGGGTTTCACCTCACAAACACTTTGTCACTCATAAGAAAACTTTGTGTGTTGTGTAACTTTTCTGACTTTGGTCAAACCAGGGATATGTGAGTTCAAGCTGAGGTGGGCTTGGGTAAAATCATGGATGTAGGTCCATTCCATGGTATAGAAGGAAGGTTCATGGTGGAAAATAATAAAATGAGTCTGAATTCTTACTCTAACAGTGAGAGACATTGACAGAGGGACAGAGGAAGAGAGAGAGAGAGAGAGAGAGAGAGAGAGAGAGAGAGAGAGAAAGAGAAAGAGAGAGAGAGAGAGAGAGAGAGACAGGGAGGATGAGAAGTAAAGATGAAATCTGACACCCGTTGTCAGGAATTGGACACTCCTCCAGTGACAAGGTATAAGGGGGTGTGGCTTGACCTAACTTTTTAGTCTGATAGACAGACTTCCCTTCTGCTTACATTGCACAAGAGTAAACTCCCTCAAAAAGGACACTTTAAAAAATTACCTTTTACAAGCGGATTAAAAATGTATTTGACATGTCTTATTTTGGGAAGGATACTTATAGAGTTGTAAGATGATATTTGGAGTCAATTTGCATATCAACTTACCACTTTATTTCACCATTTTTCCTAGATAATTTAATATTCCATACTTCCCATCTCTGGCATTGGACTTTATGGCAATTACCAAACCTCGGGTATTGGTCATCAAACTTCCAAGATAAAACTCTCATGACCAAAAAAATTGTTTTTGTTAAAAATAAGGTCCGAACCATCAAGGACATGGAATCGAGAAGTCATATGGAATAGACCCTGTGTAGCCTTTCAAACCACAAACACTGTCATATTTAGGTCTGCGGTTGCAAGACTATCCATACCGTAATTTCCCTAAACTTACCATTCATCTTGATCTCTTTTCCTTTACAATTTCCAAGTAGAATGCTGCTAATGATTGCACTTTATACCTCCGAAACAGACGTCATAGTTTGGTGAAATTATTGTTCCATCTGTTGTTTGGCTCAATCTAATGACAGGAAGTAAATATCTGAAATAGAAGTGTCATAACAAAATAATGTTGGTTAAAGATAAACAATTATCTGAGGCTTAATGGTACTGTTTAGCATGAAATGCCACCTAAAAAATCACACATTTGAGCTGTAAATATCTGAATGGAAGCATAAAAACAAAACTAATATTGGATAAACAATAACAAAGTAACTGAGGCTTTATAACCACATACCACTAAAAGAATATGAAAAGCTTACAATAGCTGAATAAACAGTGAAAATAAAGAGTTTGTAAATGGCTGCAGAGAGTTTTATGTTGCCTTCAACAGATGTGGAAAATAAGGAACAAACAAAATAATTCTCCAAAACCACTTCCTTCATCATAATTTTCATTGACATCTCTTTGTACTTTACATTTTAAATTAATGTATTGACAATTTAATATGATTTTTTAAATAGAAATAGTGCTCTCTCTACTTATAGAATACAATTAGAAGTAAATACCAAGGTGTCGGGAGGGCTGGATAAACATAAAGAGGAACTGAGTCAAAATAAACATCATACATTTTTGTAGCTTCTGAAAGTCATGTACATTATTATGCAGGGCTCGACAATAATACTAACAATGCACCCAAGACACATGGGTACAACAAATCTAAGTCTGAGGTCTCTGGAGTCTGACCCCAAAAATTTCAAAATTGTAACATAGTGCTCAAGAATACAGACTCTAAAAATTCAAATCCTAACCCCTGTTCAAAAGAGTTAATGTGTAGCCAGGCATTACGTCACAATCCTTCCAGTATAAACACACTTTTTATATTTTATAAATCGCTATCTGGTATGTCACTACTGTTCTTCCATTTAAAACACTTTGTTGAATTTAGGTCAATAATTAAAAGGAACATCAAAAGCCTATCAACAAAATCATTCATCCGGATCCCTATAACAATATGTATACATAAACATGTAGTTAAACTCCCAAAGAACATGTTACAAGTTATAAATTCCATGGGTATGAGCATGGTGTACAAAGAGAGAGGTATAACTTACATGTACATCTTTGAGTCCTATAAATTAGGATGGCACATCATAAGCTATGCTGAACTGAAACCACTTAGTCCTATTTAACGGCCCATATGAAATCCTCAAGAATCGTTAATAATTCATTATCGGGCCAATGCATGCAAATTCTCATTTGCCTTAAATCATTGTAAATTTGTTAATACTTACATTGATATAATACATTCAAACTCATATATATCATATGTTGTACAAAATAGAGATTACCGGTATAACAAAAGGGGGTCTAATCATAATTACTAGGAGTCATGGTTTTAAAGAAGATATTTCACTCAATTTTACTAAAGTTTTCAATTCTCCATCAAAATTACCATTAGTGCTATACATTTACACGTATGTGCCAGTAATACCATGTGTATACCTAGTTATTTTATGCCAGGTCCTTTAAAAATACAGTACAAAATGGAGAATTTACATTCTTCTTATTGTAAAGGAATAATACAGAAAGCTTAATCAACTTTTTCTACCCTTTGACTACCAGTACCTGAATAATTTTGTTCAGATTTCCATATAAATATATACACTTGTAGCATCTCCGTTTCGGATACCCGGTAAACATTTTGTAACAGGATGTCAAGAAATAGATATCATTATTGACCTATACATTCCTCCGGCTGACTTAAAATGTAGATCACAATTATAATTACATGTAATTACTATTAGCACCAGCCTTAAATGTGCACATGTACACGATTGTACATACAATACATGCTTCTGTAAAATAGCTGTGTGGTCAATTTATGAGCAAATTCACAAAGCAAATACCAACTTTCCAACCTGGACCAAATACAAACCTAAGTACCAACCCTATACATGTAGATTGAGTACGGAAGGGCTGAAGTCATTTTCGCTCATCATCCAGGTTACTGGTTCTAAGCAACAGAGCCTGTGCATAAGGTTCACAGCAAAATCATTCAAGCAACGGCCTGGAGCAGCTAGGCAAATTCAGTGTTTGGCACTGGTGTGGTCATGATCACCAAGCCATTGTTTAGCACAAAATTGATTGGAACCAGCGACCTTGAAAGCTTGGCCATTATGATTGCACATTCGGATATTCTCTAGGATAAAACAACACCCAGAGTATGTGTGGCCTACAATGTACACGTACATCATGTGTAAATATATATGGCCTAGAATTGTTCAATTAAAATGTGTTTCTTTCAAGTACATAATTGTCTGTTTGGTATTAGAAGGGCATTATTCATGATATACTTTGCACAGAGTTAAAGCCCTTTAGCCTCTTAACAGCCAAAATCTAAAAGTGTAGCATTTCCTGACTGAATCTCAATAAATTTATTTCCGGGATGCCACAAATACAATTTGGATGCATTTATCCTGGTCAGTTTTGACAAATGGTTAGTTTCAGTTTCACATGCAAGTACAAGAAGTAGACTTATCATGATTAAATATACCAGCTCTTGAACTTTGTGCCTTTTAAATAGGCCTTATAAAGATCAACATCTGAATATATATGTTCTACGTACCTCGCAATTTTATTGACAATAAAATATTAAATCAGCCCAGGTAAATTTATATTGTATACCCTCAAGCCCCCTGTTGCCAGATGGTATGCATGTAAATAAATATGTACATGTAGGGCCTGTTAATAAATAAATATTAAATGCCTAATAGTCCACTCCAAATTTTATTAAACCGAAATGGAAATTCTTTTTGCCCAATTGATCGTGAGCCCGGCAGATCTATGCAATTAAAGAATGACATGTGATGTAATAACATATTCTTTTCTTCTTCTTCAAGATAATCTGTCTCCTTCAATACTGAAGATTCTTGCAGATGCCGTATATACTCCCACCTAATATTGGGGTGTGCAGGTGGACCACTATACCGGGGTTCCCCCCACTCTTATACGAATAGTGCAGTGAGTTCTTAACGTGCAAGGGTGGTGACTCTCCTGTACACGGGGCCTCCATTTAACGTCCTATCTGAGGGACGGAGTGCTTTCCACTTAAGCCTGCATCTAAGAAACAAGGGAAGGGGCACGTTAACACACAACGCAGACTTCAGTCATCCGCCTGGGTGAGATACGAAGCCGAGATCATTGATACGACAGGCAGATGCTTTACCGACTGAGCCAACTCACCTCCTGCACAGCACATATCACAAATATACCAGTATTGAGCAAGAGGTTTGAAAAATCTATTTTGATTTGATTTTATTTCAGTACACAGTTTGGTCAAAAAATTCAGCTACATTTCAGTCAGCCTTTTAAACACAGAGCTGTATCATGTTTTTATTATAAATGTAATAATTATACAGAGAGAGGACATCAAGAAGTATTAATGAAGAAATGTCATTGTTCTTACAGTAGTTGTGAAATTCACCATAATACATTTACAATTAATGGAATTTCCATGTTTTTCTGGATAACCTTGTACACCATACATGTTGGTCCATGCACTAGGAGTGGAGTATACCTGGTAAATACTGCCAGCATTCATGGACTTATCAAACTATAGTACCCTGCTGCCGGCCACCATCCTCATGCAGGGCTCAGTCTCAAGGTAATCATCTTTAACAATCATCAAACTTTAATGAATGCATTCATTTCCCCCACAAAATAAAAAACAGCAATTACACATAAACATATTTGCAACAAGTTGTCAATGAGTTACATATATATAGAATAAGAGATCAACTATTAGCATTATAATACTTTCAAAACTACTCACTTCCTAGACTTAGCGTAGCATCCATTCTTGCTCTTCTTGAAACCAACTTTAATCAAGGATGTTCATGTACAGAGTCCATATATAAAACTGTCCTAACAATAAAATCCTACCACTTCCGTTTATTTGCTAAATACAACGTTCACTGGAAAGCAAATGTACATTCGTCAGCCACTGTTTAGTTGTCTGCGAATGCATTCCGCACGCAATATATTCATCATCACAATAAAATACACAGCACACAAATGATTGGGAGAACTTACTCATCGCAGGCTCCAGTGCACTTCAAAATTAGTTTCACAATAGTAGGGGACTCTTTTCAATTTCAGTAGTGCTTGTGTGTCGTCATTGTGTTTCGTACTCCTGTAGCTAACCCTGACTAAGAAAAAACGCCCTATTGTTGTCGCCGTGATTATTTCACCATTTATGGTAACAAATGTCAACAGAGTTATAAGGATGTTCAAAGTTCTTCCGAAATCACCGCCTTCGTACACCTGTCCAGATAAGCCGCAATAGGCGCTAACCCAGGATCTTATAACTTGCACTGTATGCGACTGGTGCACACGCAAACGAATCCAGCTTTAAAACCCCCGTGTGTAAAGGCTAACTGATCCGGGTTTGCCACAGGGGAAACCCCTTTTTTGTATGAATTCGCTCTTTAAGAAAATGTCATTATGAAATGTTCAGGATACTGATTAAGAACAAGATAGAAAGGAGCAGGAATTAATGGATGTATCTCTCTCTCTCTCTCTCTCTCTCTCTCTCTTTAAGTGCCATATCGTTTGACTTTGGCGATCATGCTGTTCCACAACCCTCGGTTCCTAGCCTTCTGTATTAGTACCACTCCCAGTTCTTTCACTCCTCTCTCTTCCAACAATTTCTGCAGACTGTCCATCCAAAGTATCCTCCTTCTTCCCCTACTCCTTCTTCCCACAATTTTCCCTGTCAAAGCAAGATTCTCTAGGCCTTCTTTACGTCGTGTAATGTGACCCATGAACTTCAACTGCCTAATCAACATCTCACGTATCATTTTCCTTTGCACTCCAGCTCGTGTAAGAACTTCCTCATTACTAACTTTGTCAGTCCAGGGGATTTTCATCATTCTTCTTAAAAATCACATTTCGCAACTTTCCAAACGCTTGTTAGTATCAGAGGCTAAAGTCCACGTTTCACTACCATACATAAGTATTGGGTAGATGCAATTCGATACTCTTATTCTGGTCCTCATACTCATTGTTCGATTTATCAGAATTTTGCCTAGCTTTGAAAATGCAGATTTAGCGAGAGCTATCCTTCTCTTGATCTCTGTCTCACATCTGGCATCCTCGGTGATCATGCTGCCGAGGTAGTTAAATGAGGAGACTTGTTTAATAATCTGTTCTTTCAATTTCAAGTTACATTTTGGACTGCTCTTCTTAGAGACCACCAGGCACTTGGTCTTGGTATAGTTGATCTCTAGTCCCATTCTGTCACTTTCTTTTACAACTACATTCAGGAGTCTCTGGAGATCTTTCTCTGATTCAGAAAATAAAACAGTGTCATCAGCATATCTAATATTTGTGATTGAATGGCCACCCACTTGTATCCCATTTTCATCTACCAATTCTCTTAAAATGATTTCACTATACATATTGAACAGGTCCGGCGACATAACACAACCCTGTCTGACTCCCCGTCTGATGTTAATATATTCACTACACTCTCCTTCTACCCTGGTGTATGCAAACTGATTCCAATATAGGCTTTGTAGCAGTCTTAGATCTCTCCTATATAAATTATATCAAGCTTTTTCATCTCTTCAAAAAGTTCTAAATGTTTTACTTTATCAAAAGCCTTTGAATAATCAATAAAACACATGTACACATCCTTTTGGATGTATGGTGAAACAAAAAAGCAAGCAAACAAAAAGCAAGAAATGAGTATTAGAATACTAGGGGTATTCTACTAGACGGCCTTTGCCTCTGAGTGAGGGGGCAGCGAGGAGGGGGGGGGGGGGGGTGCGAGGTTGCGTATTAAGTTATTTGAGGGGGCAGCACTCCTTCCCTCGTTGTGAAATTTTAAAATCAATTACATCATTATTGCTGTTATCATCAATGTTACCCGTGATACAAGGCAACAACTACAGATGTATTTTTAAAAAATTTAGATTAACTAACTAATGAAATAACGTATAACTAATAATTAATAGTATTCATGATTATCAAACCATAACAGTTCAGATTCAAGCGGTTAAGAATTTTTTCCTGTTCATTTAGTAAGAGCTGCTCTTAAATCGATCACCGGTCTCCACTTCAGGCAACGAATTAGTCCCGAAGAAAAAGCAACACGCACTCATACAATACAATACAATACAATGAACATTTAGGGCGCCATTCCCTTAAGGCTCAGAGCGCTAACATCAAATAATATTATTGGTCTTTACTACATGTAGTAATTAAAGGCTACAATTAGATATTCCATATAAAATATTAAATTCAATTGATTAAATTAAATAATTAAACATAGAGGAGAATTCATGTAAAGAGATGAGTTTTCAGAGCCTTCTTCAAAAATATCGATAGAGGCAGATTGTCTGATGGACATGGGGAGATTATTCCACCCTTTGGATGCTGCTACCGTGAAAGTCCTATCCCCGGCTTGGACACGTGTAATTGGATAATTTAGACGGAGGTTATCATTTGAAGATCTGAGATTTCTGCTTGGTGTATATAAAGTTAAACAATTAGACAGGTAATTAGGAGCTAGGTGGTGCAATGATTTATAGACATATAAGAGTAACTTAAAAATGATTCGCTGTTGAATTGGAAGCCAGTGAAGGGAATTAATTAATGGTTGAGCTGAATGACTTCTACCGACCTCAAACACAAGGGCCCGAATTCACAAAGCAAGGTTTGAGCTCAGACCAAGGTTTGAGCTCAAACCTCCTTTTGTTTCGCCAAACCTCCCTTTGTTATTTACAAACCAGGTTTGTAAATAACAAAAGGAGGTTTGGCGAAACAAAAGGAGGTTTGAGGTCAAACCTTGGTCTGAGCTCAAACCTTGCTTTGTGAATTCGGGCCAAGACGTGCTGCCCAGTTTTGTAGGCGCTGGAGACGGTTTACATGTAACTTTGGAAGAGAGGAAAGAAGTCCATTACAATAATCAAGTCTAGAGAGAATTAAAGACCTTACAGCATGATGACAAGTTGATTGATCAATATATCTACGAATTCGTGATATGTTCCTTAAGTGAAAAGTGACCGTTCTACTAACATTGTTAATATGTGAATTCATACTCATATGAACATCAAAGAATGCGCCCAAGTTTTTAATTGTGTCTGTAGGTTTTACGGAAATATTTCCTATGGTGAGAGTTATGTCTGGCAATTTTCTGAAATTGTGTGGTGAAGCAGCAATAAAAAACTCTGTCTTACTGTCGTTCAATTTCAACTTGTTAATGGACATCCAATTCTTTATATCACAGATGCAGTTTTGCAGTGACAACAATGCACAATCTAATTCACCACGTATTTTGGGATCAAATGAAACATATAACTGTATATCATCCGCATATACATGGTATGACACATTATGATGCTGAGTAATATCACTAACCGGGAGGGTGTAAATTGTAAAACCAACAGGACCTACTACAGAACCTTGTGGCAGACCAAACTTGGAAATGATAGGCGCAGACAATTCCCCTGCAATGTCTACTTGTGTTGACCAGCCATCGAGATAACACTGGAACCATTTTAGGGCAGTGCCTTTGATACCAATCCTCGTTGATAAACGAGAGACTAGGATATGATGGTCGATGGTATCAAAGGCTGCTGACAACTCATACAAACCTATCAATGCTGACCCCATTTTGTTTTATAACATTTTCAATTTATGAAATGCATTCAAGTGGGCAATATTCATGCAGAGATAATTGGAATATTTAAGAGCGGTATAGTACAGTACAGAGACAAGTGCGACTGCGTAGTACAGAACACTTCATTAAGGATGTTTCAAAGATAAGCCGTAATTCCCTTCTTATATTCTAAGATAAGTACAGATATCAAAGCGGTGTTGTTTTATTATCACGAGTGCACTTTGTCGGCAACATCAGCCCACTTCTTCGTTAGCTAGAGGGAGCTAGAGAGAGAGCTAGAGAGAGAGAGAAAGAAAGGGGAGAGAGAGAGAGAGAGAGAGATAGGGAGAGAGGGGGAGAGGGGAGAGAGAGAGAGAGAGAGAGTGGGAGAGAGAGAGAGAGAGAGGGGGGGGGGGGGAGAGAGAGAGAGAGGGGGGGGGGAGGGGCCTGCCATCACTAGGGGACGTATAGATGGGATGTGACGTTGTTAAATATCCAGGACCCCTCTTCAGCCTGATTCAGGCTTTGCAAATATCGGGGCGTTGGCGTTACCTTCCCCTGCTCCTCTGTATACAGCAAACTTCCCTGTTGATATTTTTTTTAAATAATTGTTCTTATCCTGTCTGTTATTATGTGGCCAATAAATTGTATTTGCCTCTTTCTTATTGTTTTCAAAAGTGATGGTTTTACTCTTGCCTTTCTGAAACTTCTTCATTTGTTATAATTTTCTGTCCATGCTAATTATATTCATAATATTTCTCAAGAACCGGGTTTCTGTAGCCTCTAATATAATATATTCTATCGAGCTCTTTGTTAATATTATTGTCCAACACTCACACCCTTTGAAAAGAACTGACGAGGCATATGTTTAATACATGGATTTTGGCTTTCATAGTAATGTTCTTATTTTTCATCACGGATTTCATCTTATCTTATATCTTACAACGATATTATTAATATGCATAAGCTTGACCCTTCTATGGTGTCCTACGTGGTGCCCTACATGTACAATTAGCTGTCAGTTTGTCAATATTAAAGGTATAGACCAGTTCTGGTCATGCGATTGCATTGTGAAAGAAACGTTGTGGAATCGATCAGAAAAGGTTGATCATCTAGCATGTAAGTATTGGTGTGTACTGCAAGGTTCTGGAATCATCAAAATGATAAGAAATTCGGCCCAGTTGGTAAAGTTACAAGCACTGTACACAGAAATATGTATATGGACCACGCTATATCTATCCAGTCGGTATAGATATAATAATTTACCAAATATATAAATAATATTAAAAGGCGGTTTCCCGGCAAAAATTTTTATCATCACGTATTAGTCAAAACATATTCTTTCACATTATTGGTAATAAGAGCTCCCATTTCATATTTTGAGAGGGGGCGTTTCCAAAACTGGTCTTTACCTTTAAAGAAACGAATAAAATGACGAGAAATTGAACTGTGAAGGCACAAATACTAATGGAAAAAAGATTAGTCGCTAGACCGCCCTTTACTAATTACCTCATATAAGCTTAGGGGTGAATGATACTCCACCAACTATAATGATCGATAGTATAGAGTAATAAAACAAAATGCAAGAATATCAAATACGTTGGTTGTTTCTTATTTCCGACCTCAAGAGTTCTTATGTATATAAGATGAGTTTTCATGAAATTACAAAATAATTATTACCTTAGTTTATTAAGCTCTGCTACTTATCTTTTAAGGATGTCGCAGGAGCTTTCGGCGGTCTTAAAGAAAATGGGATGATGCCTTTGTTTGTTTCCGAAGTCCTGTTTTTCATTACTTTTTGCCGTATGAATGATGAAATAATTTCGTCTTTTGGATAGAATTGCGGCAAGATGATTGGACGTTGTGTTGTTGTTTTTATGTCGGCAAGAGCAGAACATATATCTAATTATTTTTTATAAAGATATGAAGGAGGTCGGAAGTCGTTAAAAATCGTGAAAATCGAGTCATTTTGTTAGTTTTCCCCATGAAGACGGAGAGGAGAGTAACAATATTACTGATTCATTATAGTTCGGGTTTGGAATGCCTATACAACATGGCAAAGTCGTTGCGAGGACTGGCAAGTTTTGTCTTTATGGTAATGTCAGTGGGTAAGTCTGAAAAAATATGTTTTCAGTGTTATAAATCATTTCCTAAACTTGCGAATTGTTGCAAAAATCAATTGTCGATCATCAAAACGGGGATTTTGTCTGTTTAAAATGTCATGTTCTCTTCCGGAAATGTGGGAAATTATAAAATATAAAGGCATGCGGGCATGTTTGAGTAGGCGATTTCTTCCAAATTGGGTATTAATTTATTTATTGATGTATATATCTATCTGTCTGTTTAACTTTCTATCTATCTATCTATCTAATAATTCATTCTGATTTTTGTTTGTGTGGTCTATTCATTCTTTGTATTTATTCATTCATTTATTTATTCATTTATTTATCTATCTATCTAGGTATTTATTAATCTATCCATATATTTATGTATGTAGTTATTTAGTTATTTATTTGTTTGTTTTATTTTTTTTATTAGTTGATTATTTATTCATTGATATGTTATTGGTTTTTTATCAATAAGTTCATTAATCAATTCTTTCTTTTATCTAGGATTCTAGGTCCTTAATATGTTGTATGTTATTTAAAACGATATTTAGATGGGAATATCTACATATATCTAATCGCGAAAATGATGAAATATTTTCTGACCAGATTGTATAAGAAAAAATATACTATAACATTTTAACCATCTTTGATGAAATCACTTAAAGTAAATTAAAAACAATTTTCTATAATTTTTACTTCATACCTTTAATCAGGAAAATATAGCCTAAATGAATGTTACCATGTGTTGTCCAGTTTAACCTTTTGGAGGGGGGGGGGCACTCCTATTTCTGAACGCGTGTTCGTTTTTCCGAACGCGTGTTCGTTTTTCCGAACGAGTTTGTTCATTTCAAGATTTCAAGATTTCAAATTTATTCATGTTTCCAACAAAACATTACAAATCAGTTATAAGCATTTAAAACAAATTTAAGAAATACATGTTGGAAACAGAGGAGTCCACTAAAAAGCAATGCTTGTACAAGTGTGAACACCTCAAATGAAACTTAGGAATAATGAGTCATTAAATTAACTAATCTGTAACTACAAAACAAAAACTACAAAATAGGGGGGGGGGGAAGGGGAATGCCAACAGAGACGAGAAAGGGACAAGACAATACTATACACGACAAAGATAGAAGAACACGGTCATAATACAAAGAGCAGACAATGACAAAAAGAAGTGAGAGATCGAGGGTACAGAAAATAATACCAAAAGATGAGCTGCATGTGGTTCGGAACATTTTTGGTAAGCGGACACTTTTTTTTTTTTTTTTTTTTTTGGAGTCCAAAAAAAAATCGCAACGACTAAGCCAGCAGCTGAATAAGCGGGGGGGGGGGGGGGGGGGGGGGGGGGGGGGGGGGGGGGTAAGAAGACCCTTTTTTTTTTGGGGGGGGGGGTCTCGAAATTTGAAACTTTGACATTTTCTTTGGGGCGGGCGGGGGGGGGGGGGGTAAGGTCACCTTTTTTAGGTCAGCCATGTGCATATTTTTTTTTTTTTTTTTTTTTATAATTAAAAAATAAATAAAAAAAATAAATAAATAAAACCCAAAGGGGGGGGGGGGGGGGGTAGTTATTTTTCAAGGGGGTTTACACACATAAAAATACCAAAGGGGGGGGGGGGTTGAATATATCAGAGAATCAAATAACTAGAATACAAAATTTGAACATTTTGAATCTTTCTCATTAAGTGTCCTTCGTACGAGTCTTTCTATTCTAATTGAAAAGAATCGTGATTAGATTTTTTTTTAAATTTAAGGTACTAACACTTCCCTTGAGTTGATTTATCAAAAGTTTACTATAAATTCGTCCCTGGCGTCACTGCTTTTAGGACTAGTCCACGCTGAACATGGTGAGTGCGAGGATTTCAAGGACTACTTTTCGACACTGGTCTCACCAGACTATCCCGACCCCTACCCACCGGCTACCCGACGGCAATGGTATATGGAGATCCCCGAAGGTGTGCAGGTAAAGACATTACAAAAACGATGTACTTCACTTAATTAGTTGGTATTTTCAACAATGATAACAACAACAAGAGAAACATTGAAAAAATATTTTGTTAAATTCTCTGTACCTCACGAATTGATAGGAGGGATTCAGTTCAATAATAGTTAGTACGACCAGGCGCCATGATAATATATAATATTTCTTCCTTACTTCACCCCTCACCAAGGTTAATCGTTAATGAATACCAAATATCAGCTGTAATAAGTACTATTTCACCTTGGAGTAAGATAATTGTTTTCTGGCCCTCCAAAAAGCAATGCTTACCGTATTAGAGAAACATGCCTATTTCTATATTTCTGTCGTAAACGCACTCAAAGGGAAAATGGCAAGATTGCCTACAATCTTTGTTTAATTGTTTTCATTTATAGATAAACAGTTCTCTATATTGTTGTGGTCATTGTTGTCGCTGTCGTACCTCGGAAAACTCATTAACTTCCATCGATGCCTCCATAATGTTCTTGGTCATTACTCATGATCTTTGAAAAGTAAATCTAAATATCTTTAAGATACTAGCAGAATATTCTTTAAAAATTTAGTTCATTTCATCGTAGAAAAGTAAACAGAAATGCAGTAACAATATACCCTCTCATCCGTACACATGCTAAGGCAATTTTGATTAACCATTATGGTTTAACCCTAGGCCCTCATTCGCGTAAACGCCCTCGAAATAGAAAGAACATGGGATTACCTGACTCTTGAACACACCCACCAGACTGCACACGGCACTAATGTTACTCGCTTCCCATTGGTCAGTGGTAATGTGACGTCAATATTGCTCCGGAGGGAAATGTGATGTTGGACTTTTGCAGTGACGAGTTTGAAAATTTCGATGGCTTCTCCTTTGATTTACGCACACGTGAAATCAACAGTAAGCAAATTTAAAAATATTTTCCATTTTCCTAGTAAATCTTTCTCTCTTTTATTTCTACATATATCTTTTGCTAATTTATCTGAAAATTGTACCCTTTTATAAACATAAATTTTCCTCAAAATTGTAAAGAAAAACAAACAAACAAAAATTGAAACATAACAAATTGTTAGAATACTTAAAGACTCTTGAACGTAAATTGTTCAATGCGTTGCTCTTTTTAAAGGAAAATATTCTGACGACATTACGAACCCTTTACAGTGGATTTTCCATCTTTTATTCCTGTTTTTAAGAGAAAACAATAATTGCTTTAATAATATATTTATTAAAAAAAGCACACACAACGATGATTTTATTTCGAAAGGGTAAAAAAAAAAGATAAAAACAATTAAAACAAATTTGAAACACTTAGAAACTGGTAAAGTCGTTAAATGCTGATATTTTATTTGTTAAGGTCCTAAATAAGTAAAATCTCTTGCTATTTCCACGTATTTTAGATACTTTCGACCTGGGTTGTTACGAACCCGATGTTGAGACCTTTGCCTGTGCTTCGGGGGTGCAGTACATCCACGCCATCGCACGATGTGATAGGATCGTAGACTGTCATGACCACTCGGATGAAATCGGCTGTGGAGGTGAGGATGAAAGGGAGGAAGAGAGAGGTGAAGAGGAGAGAGCGACGGAGAGGAGAGAGCGATGGAGGGAGTGGGAGAGAGAGAGATAGAGTAGAGAGAGAGAGAGAGGGGGGGAGAGAGAGAGAGAGAGAGAGAGAGGGGGGAAGAGAGAGAGAGAGAGAGAGAGAGAGAGAGAGGGGATGGAGAAGGTGAGAGGGAGGGAGATAGGGAGGCAGGGAGTGAGGGAGGGAGGAAGGGAAGGAAGACGAGAAAGAGGGTGTAAGCGCTTAAATGGGTTATCATGTCAAGGTATACATCACTTGTACATTCAATAATATAAATTTACTTATATTTTGTCAAATAAAGGTCAGTCAATCATTTTTATAATATATGATAATCTCTCTCCCTCTCCCTCTCCCTCTCCCCCTCCCTCTCCCTCTCCCTCTCCCTCTCTCTGTCTCTCTGTCTCTGTCTCTAACTTCGTCTGTCTCCTTTATCGACTTTTCCCTTTGTTTAAATGCAGATTGTCCTCCCGATACCTCTCAGTGTGAAGGGACTGATATATGCATTCATTCTAAATTCCTTTGTGATGGAGTGTTTGACTGCCCTCATCAGGATGACGAGAACTGTATAGGTATGAAACTCGCGTTTTTAATACTTGTTATACTTTGTATGGGGGGGGGGGGGGGAGGGGGTAGGGTAATAGGCACGTCTTGATAGTCCAATAGCTTTCTGTTAGTGCTATGATTTTCGTTTGACCAGTGGACTGTTTCCCCTACAGGCCCTATGATTTCATAGTATGAATACAATTCGGATGTTTATAGTATACGCTGCTTTGAATAATATACGCGTGCAGAGTAGAAACTGTAGTAATTTTTTTTTAAATGGTCCATTCAAGTTGGAACCAGCCGTCTATAATAATGCTACCAAATTGTCATATTGACGAATTGACGATGTTCACGTGTTTATCAAATAACGTTATTGTGATGACAATTTCGATTTTGATTTTTTTTTTAAACGTCAGTTCTCTCCCGTTTTGTTAATGATTATAAAGAAATGATTATGAAACGGAAATTTGCTAAATAACTAGTTCTTTGTCTCAATGTTATCTCATTTATTTCCGAATTAAAAAAAAAAAATCAAATCAAAATCAAAATCAAATTTACCTTTGATCCCTAGATTCAAAGTGTCCCGATGGATGCATATGTGGAGAGGGCCCCTATGCCCATTTCTTCGGGCCAAGTCGAGCCTTCTGCGCTGCACCTGGCTACCTCCCATACTGGACGAATGGGACAACGACTTGGAACCAGGAGTATGCAATGAATACCACACTAAGAACCGTCGTCATGTGAGTATAGCTCGTTTAAGAGGCGCAGTCGCATGGATGGGGGGGGGGGGGGGGGGGGGGGGGGGGAGGGGCGTGTCTTTCCCTCGCACGGCGAAAAAAAAGAAGAAATTGGTCAATTTTAAAGAGAAAGAAAGGGATGGAGGGATATGGACGGGGAAAATCGATAGGGTCCTCTTTTATACATGTATCTCTTCCCTAAACATGCAACATAAAAAGGGAAAAATAAAGAGTTTTAATAAAGATGGGAAAGAGAAAGATTAGAAGAAACGTGAAAAGATAGACGATATGATCACCCCCCACTCACACCCTTGTACGGGCATCCTGTTAATTCATCCAACGTTAGTAAGATCGTAGCCCACGTATTGTGCCAGTAACCCATCAATACTTTAACCTATGCTTGGTAGCTTAGGGTTGGCACAATATGGGAAGGGGTGCTGTGATGTGATGCCCCCTCCTTATTAAGAAATCGATAAAGTCGGGAGGTAAGAGGACACTTTTTTTTTGGTCTCGAAATTTGAACATTTGACATTTTGTTCCGTTGGAGGGGGGGGGGGGGGGTAAGGTCAGCTTTTTTAGGTCAGCCATGGGAATATATATATATATATATATTTTTTTTTTTTTTTTTTTAATGAAAAAAATAAATCCAAAGGGGGGGGGGGGTTTAGGGTGGTTTAGGGGGGGGGGGTTTACACACAAAAAAATACCAAAGGGGGGGGGTTAACCCCCCCCCCCCCTGTGTACGCGCCTGAGATCCCCCATAAATTATGTTAAGGATTAAAAGATAATATGGTTCATCAAAGATTGCGAAGGCCAACAGCAAATGTATTTACTTACTGCATTATTATCTTGTTTTCCCTTAATTTTGATTATCAATACTTGTAGAGACCTCCATGACATTCCCTTAATGCATCTCGATCCAGGAAGCTTCATCGGTGCTACAAATCTGAATACCCTGTGAGTATGTCATTGAATATTATTATTGGGCAAAGAGAAAGAGATGGAGAAAGAGAAAAGAAAGAGAGTGAGAGAGAGAGAGAGAGAGAAAGACAGAGAGAAAAGGAGAGGGAAAGAAAAAGTGATAGAGAAAGAGATAGGGGAAAAGAAAGAGAACCAGAAAGAGAAAGATAAAGAGAAAAAGAGAGAAAGAGAAAGAGACGGAGAAAGATAAAGAGAAAAGGAGAGAGAAAGAGAAGAAGAAAGAGGAAGAGGAAGAAAGGTACAAGTAAGGAAATGATCATTGATCCAGGGCAATTTGAAGAGTCTTTGAAAACGATAACTTATTTTGTATTGCATGATATCGTTGACTTGATAGATTTGTTTGGCCATTTATAATTCAAATAGGCTGTAATATATGTTAAAATGTAAATTTCTTAATCATTGGCATATCTTTTAAACTGGTATTTTGTTTACATTATTTATTCGTTTTATAACTATTATATAATGCTGTTGCTGTCTTTTCGTTTCCTTTGTTCTCTATTATGTGTCTTCCTTTTCTCCTATCCATTCGATCCCCTCCCTCCATCCTTTTCATCCCTCCTTTCAACTCTCTCTCTCTCTCTATCTCTCTCTGTTTCTCTCTCCCTCACTCTCCTTTTGTTCTCTCCCTCTCTCTCCTTTTGTTCTCTCTCTCCCTCTCCTTCTTCTCTCTCCCTCTCTCTGGTAGTGACCTGACTAACTGTGATATCGATCATCTCCCTTCTGGTGTCTTCGATGGTGCGCTCGCCTCTATAAATTGTAAGTAAAACTTTCTCAATTAAAAAAATATCGAACTATTAAAAGTTATCAGTAGTTATTGTTTAAAATAGAAATATGAAGGATCATTTAAAAAAAAAAAAAAATTGCAATTATATCAAACATAAATAGAAGAAAATCATTCATTGACTCTTCCTTTTCAATGTGGCATTTATTGTTTCGTGGTCGCTATTCACATTTTCCAAACTTTAGTTACAATATTCATTTGTAGTGCCTTCTGTTGGTAGACTTTTGGGGTATAATATGGGCTGTTTTATGTTTCGCATGTGGATAGATGCTCAAAATCAATCTGTTTGAAAGATCCTGAGTTTTTATCGTGTCGTGAATAGATTAACACAGTACATTACTTCGTGTACATTAATATCTTCCTTATTATTTCCTTCCAGAGTTATGTGGTAAACTTGTTTCAGCAAGGGCCAAGTCAGGAGAGGTTTCAAAAGATCAGTCTTAAAAGTTTCACCCATTCTTGTATTGTTGTTAACAAGACAGCAAACTGCAATGTACTTTATCATTTATCATGTTATTTCAGGTACATTCGAAATAACAAGTTGAGGTATTTAGAGAAGGGGACGTTTCGTGGACTCTACAACCTGTATCTACTGTAAGTACCGACACTGTTGATAATTGTTGCTCAGGGGCGTTGCCTGAATCCAGTGGCCTATAGAACCCCGCCATTGCATTTAGAGAACCATTGTAGTTTAGAGGGGGGGGGGGGGGGGGGGGAAGAAGAAGAAAAAAACAACAACATGAGAGTCATGATAAAAGGGCCTTTGAACTTCGGAGAGGTCGTCTTACGCATGGTAATGGATCTTAAAGAATCGGAGGACCTTTACTTTATGTATTTCTGTTGCTTTTCAGGGACTTTTTACCCCTTTTTGTTTCCTTGTCAGAGATCTATCAGAACTATCGGCCCATTCCTCTTTAGAGAATCCTGGATCCGACTTTCAAGTTACAACCACCTTATGACGGAAAGATTACTTTTGCAATATAATACACGGTGCTTCCTTTTATGTCTTTTGTTTCTGATTTTCTTCATTTGATTAATAAAGCTTTGCAGAGTTCAACTTTCTGACGAGGTTTGAGGAAGGCTGTTTCGAAGGGCTGACCAATCTATTCTTTATGTAAGTATTGAGACAGCCATGTTGAGTTTGTGGTATCCTGAAATATTATTGAAAGAGCACCACCTTACGTTCATACTAGACACAACTTTGTTTCCTTTACTAGTTTATGGAACATCGTTCGATATACATAATTGTACGGCGTTAACAAAAAGAAGGATGTTGTATTGCCTTTTGCGACCGACCCACAAATCTTAAAATCTACGGTTGGCTTTATAATAGAGTTTTTTTTTTTTAAATTTGTTTTAACAGTTTTTAGAAAAACAAGCGTTTAATGAATAAAAAGTTATTCATTTCGTTTGTTTTTATAAATGGGATATAAACAGGCGCGGATCCAGGGGGGGGGGGCCGAGCGGGCCTTGGCCCCCCCCCCGCAAAAAAAAAAAAAAAAAAAAAAAAAAAGAGAGAGAAGAAAGGAAAAGAAGGGAAAGAGAAAGAGGAGAGAAAGGGAAAGAAAGAAGAAGAAGAAGAAGAATAAAAGAAAAGGGGGAAGAAGGAGATCGGGGGGACCGAAAGGGCCTTTCCTCCCAGGCTGTTGACCCCCCCCCCCTCCAATCAAAAAAATAAGAGAGAAGGAAGGAAAGGGAAAGAAAAAAAGGAAAAGAGGAGATACTGGCGTACTAATGGGGGGGGGGGGGGGCTTTGGGGAAATCAAATTTAAACGTGGTTTATTTATAATTCCACAACGGTGGATTACAAATAATGCTGAAATGACATAATTTCCGAGATTTGTCCTCACTTTTAGTAAATTATACGTTTGTATATGGTTTGTTGGAAAATGACAAATTCCTAAATTTACAGCCAGGCACGAAATATGATTCTTGAGATTCCTACATGTCAGGGCCCGAGGTACGGCAGGGATCGGGAGCCTCGAGCTCCCTCCCCCCCCCACTTTATTTGAAAAAGTATATTAAAGAGAAAAAAATAGAATGAGCGCAAGAAAGAACGAATAGTTAACTGCCAGTGTTAAAAAATGAGTCATCAAAATATGCTCATCTGACCGTGATTAAATGCCTAAAACCCTTAAGCTTCCGGGGCTCTGCCCCCTGGATTCCACCTAGGGCGCTACGGCAGGCCCTTAGATGCTCATCTGACGGTAATTTAATGCCTAAAACCCCGCTTTTGGGGGGATCCGCCCCCTGGACCCCACGCCAAATAGTGACCTGCCAGTGTCACAAAATAATAGGTATTAAAAAAAAATGATCATCTGACCTTAATTAAACGCCTAAAACCCCTGAGCTTCCGGAGCCGGACAAGTTATCAAAATGTGTTTATCTGACCGCAGGCGCGTAGCCAGCCAGGGGGGGGGGGGGGGGGGTCCCCCAAATCGGAAGAGGACGTAGAAAGTAAAAGGAGCAGACAAAGACAATCTTTGAAATTCAGACAAGGATTAAGAGTATAGAGAACGGTACAACGTATCGTCTTCTTTCTCTAATAATTTAATGAAACGTCAAAGCTTCGCGCAGGAGGGGAGGGGGGGGGGGGGGGGGACTGAATTCAGACAAGGATTAAGAATCGAGAACGGTACAGTGAATCGGCTTCTTTCTCTAATGATTTAATGAAACGTAAAAGCTTCCGCGCTTCGCGCGGGAGGGGGGGGGGGGAACCTGAATTCAGACGAGGATTAAGAGTCGAGAACTCTACAACGAATCGTCTTCTTTCTCTCATAATCTTATAAAACTTAAAAGCTTGGGGGGGGGGGGGACCTGAATTCAGATGAGGATTAAGAGTCGAGAACTCTACAACGAATCGTATTATTTCTTTAACAGTTTTAATGAAACTTCAAAGCTTCCGCGCCTCGCGCAGGAGGGGGAGGGGGGGGGGGACTGAATTTAGACGAGGATTAAGAGTCGAGAACGGTACAACGGGTCGTCTTCTTTCTCTAATGATTTAATGAAACGTAAAAGCTTCCGCGCTTCGCTCGTGAGGGGGAACCTGAATTCAGACGAGGATTAAGAGTCGAGAACTCTACAACGAATCGTCTTCTTTCTCTAATAATTTAATAAAACGTAAAATTTTCCGCGCTTTGCGCGGGATGGGGGAAAAACTAAATTCAGACGCGGATTAAGAGTCGAGAACGGTACAACGAATCGTCTTCTTTCTTTAATAGTTTAATGAAGCGTCAAAGCTTCCGCGCTTCGCGCAGGAGGGGGAGGGGGGCTGAATTTAGACAAGGATTAAGAGTCGAGAACTCTACAATGAATCGTCTTCTTTCGCTAATAATTTAATAAAACGTAAAAGCTTCCGCGCTTCGCGCAGGACGGGGGGGGGGGGCTGAATTACGACAAGGATTAAGAGTCGAGAACTCTACAACGAATCGTCTTCTTTCTCTAATAATTTAATAAATCGTAAAATTTTTCGCGCTTCGCGCGGGAGCGGAAAAAAAACTAAATTCAGACGAAGATTTTGAGTCGAGACCGGTACAACGAATCGTCTTCTTTCTCTAATAATTTAATGAAACGTCAAAGCTTCCGCGTTTCGTGGAGGAGGGTGGGGGAAAACTCGCCCCTCTCTGCACCGATCCCCGTCCGCATTACGTCACTGTTGGTCATCGTTACGTACCAATATTTGGCTCGCATAATTTCAAATTTGGGCCCCCCCCCCTAAGAAATCCTGGATCCGCGCCTGGATATAAATGCATAAATCATAACATTATTCCCAAATTCACACTCGTCTTCTGCCCTAGTTTCGAAATCCTGCTAGCGTAAACAGGTAGACCCGGGCCTCGTGTAAGTGTATATACCATAAACTGCACCAGCTAGAAACAAGCGAGATTTGGGCGTCGGTCGCTGCTTTGAGAAAGAAAGAAAAAAGTTACCTTTTTAAAAATATTTTATATCCGACCGACCGACCGACCGACCCAGGTTCTGGCACCTAAAGGGCAATACAACATTTTAAGGCCTAAATGATGGTGGGTATCTACCTAGGCGCTAGAACCTGGTTTAATAAATATTAGAAAGACTTTCAAACGTTTATATGATACTGTCAATCTATGCATTTATATTATGCATGGTAACTCCTGACATGACGCTGTCGGAAAGTGCGAAGAGTCACTGCGTTATGTAGAGAGAACCTTTATTAAGAAAGGGGGGGGGGGGCGGGTCATTTAGTGCTCGCTGAATGTAATGAATCCGATAATGATAACGATAATAGTGATAATAATAATGTTCTTTACCCAGGGAAACCTCATTAGATTCAATGCTGTTCTTCCGGGGGTCCTGCAATCACTATTTCCCCAGCGATTGTCAGGTACCCATTTGCACCTGAGTGGAGAGTGGAAAATGTAGATTAACGTCTTGCCAAAGAATGTTTGTGCCGGGCTGAGATTCGAACCATCAACCCTTAGATTAAGATTAAGGTACTATGTCCCTTTTGCAGCCAACCTCAAATTCTGTAGAGCTTTGCAGGAATTATGGATATGTCATGTATGTCCTATCTGTGAAATTTAAACGTTAGCAGTGTCCTCATATTCAAATTATGCAAGGAAACACGTTTACTTGCTAGACTTCACTGTCAGACACTATTGAGTGACTGACTGGCTTTTTTTCTTCTTTGGTAATAACACACATGAAAAGAGTTGTAAAGGGTACATGAGCATTAATGTCTACATCAATAACCCACTTCCTGTGATGGCCAAGATTAAACTGATTGAATCTTTGCGCAGCATAAAACGTAATATGACCATTCGATTATTGTCTGAAAATCAAGACTATACTTTGGGCTCTATAGCCCTAAAGTCGATTTGACGACTAATAGTCGTTATTTCCCACTTGCAGACATTTTCAAGCCCCACCTTTTTTAGGGAAGTTCTAAATTAGTATTATCTTTCAAATGCAGTTGGAATTTAACTTTTTCATTTTTTTGGCCTGCAAATGGGACATAGTACCTTTAAGTGGATGAACCACTATACCACGACAACTCCAATTTAACTTGATCATCATCTTTTATATTTCAGAGATCTTGAGTTCAATGGGATAACTGACTTCCGGCCTGGTACCTTCCGTGACCTCGGTGGTTCTCTTGAGAGATTGTAAGTCTTTTTTTTTCTTCTTCGATTAAAGGCCCACTGCACTATTTATAGCTACTTGCGCCCCCTATATAGCACACTGTGCCTAATCGGTGACCATTGGTCCCCATGATCCTCTTTTTCCTATGTTAATTGAGAGCTTAGATGATGAGATAACCACCTGTCAGTGACCATGCTGGGAGGTCTAATCCCTCCTGGCCAAACTAGTGCGATGGGGCTTTAAAAGAATTGATAAATCAATCAATAATTAATAAAGCCCCAAACTGAAGGCCTACACCAGACGTTAATGTCAGGAACACAAAGTTAAATTTATGATTATTATATAAGATAATATAGCGATATCCTTTCTAAATAGACTTCAGTAGATAGCCAACTGATAGTGGTGTAGCTATATAAGCAGGAATTAAGAGGGGTGTATTTGGGCGAGTGCTAATGAATAACGAAACATTACATGGTGAAAGAAAATAAAAAAGAGAAAGGGGGAAAATAAGCGAGAAATGGGAAGAAACTTGAAAGAAAGCGTTTTATATTGGGCTTCTTTCATCCCTCTTTGTCTTTATTTCCTGTGTGCTTTATCAATCATCCCATTTATGCAGTTATGATTAAAGAGCTGTTTTTATTAAATTATTTTGAAGGATAATAACTCGAAATAATCTGACGTCGATCAACTCATCTCTGTTCTATGGACTGGAAGAGACCTTACTTAGAGTGTGAGTATAAGGGTGAATCTTTACTCAACATTTTGTATTATGTTAAAAATCATTACTACGTATCTGATCAATGGATATTCCAAAAAAATGTACGATTGGAGTGGAGTGCCTTTTGTAGTGTACAAAGCATTATAGCGTCTTGCCATACCCACGTTATGTTTGTTGTCTCGAGAGGGCGTTCACCACATTGTGATATAACATACACTTCTTCGATTTAACAATATATTTCAAAAGATTTCG